GATGACTTCTTTGACTGCAGGAACAAAAGGGCACTTGTTTTCCTATTCTTACTTGGCAAGAATACAAATCAAAATATCAAAATAACTAGTGCATTTGGAGGGTGACAGCTTTAATCAGTTAAATACTTCAGAGTTCATAATTCTTCCTTTTTTCAGTATGGAGAATTTTTTATGAACACTTAAATGTTTTACCTCGAGCATTGACTCAAAAATTTGAAACAAAGTGTGGCACTGTTCTGTCTATAGTAGCTGCAAAAAAATTACTGATTTCCTCAGTAAATTACTGGAAATTATTAGAATGATGCATTTTTCAGCAAAAATAACATTACACTGTATTACTTTTCTGGCTTCTTTTTTTTTTTTTTTTTTTTTTTTTTCTTTAAGGAAAGCTATTTTGAAGTGCTACCAGCAAATGAATAGTTGTTATGGATTGTTATTAACATCATTTAGATGTTGCTTTAGAGTAACATGTGTTCCCTGCTCCAACGGATCTCTCACCAGACTTCATCTTAATAAGTCAGTGAAGCAGTATTAGCTTACAGCTATGCAAAAGTTGAAAATTTGATGAAGCAACAATTTATTGTGCAAGGCTACTGCTAGCACTTCTTACTTAGTGACACTGGTTCTGCACACTTTGATGGAAGTAGAGATTATTAATTCAAACAAGGCTAAATGAAAATGATGACAGTGCACTGTTGGTGGTTTTACTGCAGGAAGACCATTAAGAAACAGAACCTATGTCCTTTGGCTGAATGTGTGCCTCTTCTCTCCATGCACTGTCCTCCCAAGAGATTAATTGAACCTTTCAAAATTTAATGTCAGCAGAGCACAGCTATATTTTGTAGTTCAAAAGGAATTTAGAACGGCTATGAGTTACCTCAATAATTGATACTATAGCTTGAACTTGCATGAAGTCACCTTTGTAGTGTTAATCCTAAGGGCGTAGTACTGGCTTTGTGCAATTTTGAGTTTTATAAGTATGTGATATGTGGAAAATTATGGCACTTTTTTCCAAAGGAACAATGATATCTGAAGACTTGGTATTTGTGATACTCACAAGTACAGCACAGAACTTTAAGCATATAGCAAATGGTCAGATATCTCATTATATGTGCCCATTGTATAAATACCAAAAAACTAACACCTCCCTCAAGCAGTGGATCTGCCAGTGGGTGTGTTGCATTTTAATATTCTTAGGCTTTATTGCTAATCCACTTTCAAATGTGCAAGTACAGGAGTGTGGCAGATGACACAGTAGTCAGACTGACTTCCCTGTGGTGTCTCCCTACAAAAAGATGCTTTTCAAGTGACAGTCTCTTGTGTCTGGGAGCTGGGCTTGGGTGTCTGGCTTATATTAGCAGCTCTGGTGTTTCAGAAAGCAGGGCTGGGTTGTTGGTGAACCATTTCTTTAGGAATCTTGCTGCAGGCTTTCTCAAATAATTTGCATGGTTTTGGGATTCCCTAACATTTCATATTTGTAGGGAATGTAACTTTTACCACCATACTCTTGGGGTACTCTTTCTTATGTTTATACTATCCCCCTACAATGGGAGCCCCTTCTCCTCCCCATTACCATCATGATACACTTGTATCACCTGTGTTAAGTTTTGAATTCTTTTTCCCTTCTTCTGCAAAAACACTCCATATACCTCTGGAGTTCTAGGAATAGTAATAAAAAGAATCCTGCTCTTCCACCTTTTGGTCTCTTTCCCCTTGTTTCTTAATTTATCCAATACTTTCTTCCACTCCTCTTTATTAGCGGAGAGGAGCTGTGGGGAAGAGGGAGTCCTCTTCTCTAGGCTACAAATGCCCAGGTAGGACATAATTTATTTCTTGAATTGGGGAGGTCTGCGGAGGGATGTTGAAACTGGCTATAACAAAGGAAGAAAATGAAGATGTCTTTCATTTGGGGTTGCTTTTAAAGCATTCTCTGAATATGTCAGTATAAATTCAAAACTAATCCATCTCAAATGGAATTTCCCTGTATAGAACAGCGCAAAATAAAGGAGATTTGGATTGTTAAACAGACTCTTTAATTCCACTTGTTTTCAGTTCTCTGTATAAACGATCTCATTCTTTGCTCATGGCTCAAGTCAAACTTGAAACTTTTCTTATTCTAGATGTTTGTGGCAAAGCACTGTCTAACTCTTGTTTATGTCTCAATTTCTTCACTCTGTTGGAAAAGATTTTCTTTGATAGTGTGTCAAAGCTTATTGAAGCGCTTGACATTAACTACTATATTAAATATAAAATATTGCATCCTACAGTAGTTTATGTGACTGTTTTCTTCTGTCTGGGAATCTGACAGACATCTTGTAAGGCAGCTGCAGTTGGAAAGCTGGTGCTGTTTCTTGGAAGCCAGCTCAAGTATCATTCTTTGTGCTTTCAAACTACTATTTGGCTGAAGACAGCATAGTGATTCTTCAAGTCTGATATGGCAGAGTGTGCTGATGAGGAGCTGTTTTAACTGAGGTGGTGTATTTAGTCAGTCTTATTAAACTGTTTTGACCGTTCAAGCTGGTCTGACATATTTTGCAGAGCCAGGTTTCATTGCAATCCTAATTAAAGGCAGCTTGGAGGCTATTTTCTTTCAAGACTGATGTTTTGGCTACAGAGGGATCTACTTCTGTCTTGTGAGGTTTAGTTGATTTGTTATAAACTGAACAGCAATAGCTGGGTATTTTACATTAGCAAAAATGAGCTCTCTGATTTGACAACATTTCTAAAGTAGAATAGCTTATTGCCCAATGGAGGGGACACAGCAACCAAGACTCTGATTTCTATAGACCATGTTTTTTCACTCTGCTTTTGTGATTGACTTTGGGAAGTAAGGTACGTATAGTTACCTCAGTGATCAAATTGGGCACTGGGTATAGTAATGTCTTGCTTGTTGCATGTGCTCACTGCCACCTAAGCTGGTATTGTTTTTTTTTCAGTATGAAGGAGGACATGCTTTAGACCTATAGCCTTGGGGAAAAACACTTGGCAAACTAGGGTCAAGGTGACTTTTCCTAAAAAAGGGAAGACCCTGTTCCCCAGTTGCCAAATTCAGTGATCAGACCAAGTCATGCTTTTCATGCTGCTCCATTCCTACTTAGATGCGAACTGGGAATGGATATAGTTGGCAGCATGGGGCTCAAATAAGTCAAAATCTGCTAACTCTGATAAAAACTGAGATTTACTGCTAAACATTTAGTTCATCTACTATTCCTTTAAAGCTTTAATTTTTTTTAATAGACCTTACTTAATATTATTTACTCTTTAACCTCATTAGGAAATGATGGAAACTGTACTATCCTTACAAGCTGCAAACTCTTTGACACTTTGATCACTGTTCTGATTGCCCTTCACAATGACAGCTGCTGCACTGAAAAGAAGAGGAAGGGAAACGTGAAACCTGGGGCCCGTGTTTGATACAGTATCGCAGTGCAGGACGGCATGAATCTGCATTGTGTATGATTACCAGACAGTAAATCAGCTGTGTTGTGCTAGAGCCAGAAACCAGTAGCTTTCACACTTGCTGCCTATTTCCCACTCATTGTAAAACCCTGCTCTATCACTTGATAGACCTGGAAAGGAAGCACAGAGGAAGCGAGTGCCACTGCTGGTTCAAAATGTTCCAGGGCAACTGGAAAGTTTGAGTAATGGCCTGGGTGAGAAGAACAAGACCTTATTGACAGGGTTCAATCCTAGTCAAGTCTGTTTCCTATCAACTTCCTAAGTAATCACAGCCTTTCTTTTTTTCATCTCCTTTGCACTTTATGAGTCTCCCATTTTCGCCTTTTTATTTTATATAATTATTTATTATAGTGAACTGAGCAACTGAGGAGAACTGGGAAGTTTTCTTCCCTCTAATCCACCTCTGCTAAATCCTGGAGAACTTATTAATGAAAAAGATGACAACTACATTAAAGGTAGTTTTATTTGAATGTCTCCTTTTGATAGGGTCTTTTCGTTTGATGTTCAGAAATGCATACTGTTTCAGTGTTGTCATAGCACATGTGGTTTGTGATGTTCCAGAGCAACCTGTGTCATAGACTGATGGCTGTTATGTTATGGGACTGCGAAGTTTTGTGAACACACACACACTTATACATGTAGTGGAAGAAGCATGTAAGCTGAGACTTTCTTAGTTTCAAGCTCTTTTAGACTGTGTAAAACTTTATGAAACTTACCATATGGCCACTCTTTTTTTTAACCTAATGCTGCTGTGTTGAACATGCAGCAACAGAGCCCCTAGCACACTGCACTGTGCCATTTTGTATAGATTTATGCATTATTTTGCCATAAATGTAGTGAGCAGTTTCCACTGGCAGTCCTGCTCCTCTAGAGCCTGCTAATGCATCTCAAATTTCTCACTTCAGTACCTTATTCTCTTGAGGCTGTCTATGAGACAAGTAAAGTTCATTTAATCTGAAGTGAGGAAGGTTCTTCTCTAGAGAAACAAGCTTTTGAAAAGAGGGCCAGAGATGTTTATTCTGTTTTGCATGTAAATCTCTAGCTGTGGTTTTAGCAAAGCAGATCCATGTAACAGAGTTTAATCATGTAAGCATAGGTGACATCTTCTGTTTTTGTGGTCTTTCTGTAGCCAGTTAATTGACTCTAGAATACTCTCAGATATGAAGGGGACAACAGTTCAAAAAGTCAGTGAAAAGTTGCAGAGTCTTTGGGGAAGGGTAGTTAACACTGAGCCCTCTTCTGGAGGGGTAAACTTTGCTGGGTTCGTGATATTACATACACATTTATAAAGATGATATGACATTGTATTTTGTAATCCTGGCAATAATAATGCCAGGAAAATCATCTTATTTCAGGAAAACATGCACTAGCATCTGTTTTGAAGTATTTGCTTTTGGGGAGTTTAATAATTTAAGTTTGACGAGGATTTAAAGGGAAGGGAAAAAAGCAAAAACACCAAATCCAAAACCACCCAAATTCTCAACCCTCAATGATATATAAAATGTGGAAGTGGCTTGCATTCTGTAGTGTAAATAGAGGGTATGCTAGAGGTGTTTTTGAAAATTCAGTTGGTCAGGCAAGCAGAATTACTGCTGCCTTCAGAAGGTTTGTGGAAGGAGCATGTGTGCAAGGGAATCATGAGCGTGACACAGTGTGACAGAATCGCGTCAGTTTCCAGAGTATGTCAAGCTTGCAGCAGCTTTTCTAGAATGTCTTTCCTTCTCTATCTCCAAAATAGTTCAACTTCAATGACTGTGGTTAGAATATTTTGGAAAGGCGTCCCTAGGCACTTAATAAGAGAATTTTGGATGAGGTTCAAGAGACAGGAGTTCTCAACCAGCATTTGTAAGAAAGTTATCTTAAAATATGCTGCTTCTTACATCTAAAATGAACCAAAAAGAATCTATAGTATTTTTAGGTCAGTATATAAACCTGGAGAAATCTAAGTATATGCTTGTTACCCAGTCAACTAACTGCCGATTTTTTTCTTCCCTTTTTTGAGACCTTAACGAGTCCAAATCTCCCAGGCCCATTCACTGTGTTTCTAACATTTTCCTATATCTTACTCTTCCCAGGATGGATCGTACTTGGCTGAGTTCCTGCTGGAAAAAGGCTACGAGGTGAGTGACTCGGTGACCGGCTGTGGGCTGATGGAATTATTTGGATGCTGCAGCTCTGGCTTCCTCTGCTTCTGTCCTCTGTGTATGTTTTCCACTGCAGCCCTTGATAACAAATCAAAAAGCTGGAGAGGAATGTGCAACATGGCCTGTAATCATGCCAGCTTATTGTACTATTTATCATCTAATGTCCACTGGTGGATTCCCTCTTCTCCTCAGGGTATAGATGCTTTGCATGTTTCCCGCCAGCTTAGATAAGCAGTGACCTGTATGAGCCAAAACTGTAAGGAATTAGGGAATAATTTATGATGCAATGTACCACATAAAGGAATAAGAATCTCTTGTTTGTTCTCTTTCCCCTCCGCTCTCTCCACACTGCCCTTTTTGTTTTGGCAGTTATACTTCAGCAGTGAAAACTTACATTTTGCTTTCTCTGTTTAAAAAGAAAAAAAAAACCACAAACAACCAAAAACCCCAAACCCCCAAAAATATTTTGGTAGTGTTACTTTCCACCCCTTCTCTTGGATTACTTGCTTAGCACATGATTTTCATTTACCATTTCCTTAAAATAAATTAAGTCTGATTCCATACTATTTATTGCTTAATTTTCCCTGACAAGATTGTCTTTTTTTGTGGCCAAGCAAAGCAACAGTCACATTATTATTATACAATTTGGTGGTTTTGAACTGTTGTGGGCATACAGATGAAAATGTTTGCCTTCTCAGTTATGAAAGATGCTTCCAAATTGTTTGATAATGGAAGAGAAGGGGAGGTAAAATCACTCTCCTCGTAATGTAATATTTTTGGGGGTTTTAGTAAAAGCTGATGCTTGTTCTAATACAGGAGTTCATTAGTTCTGTTGTAATGCTGCTTTGTAGCTCAGTGAGGAGTCTCTTTTCACCCAGTCTGTTTTCCTCTCCATGCTTTTGCATGTGGCTAATCTTGCCCTGTTTATTCCATCCATTCTCACGCTTTGATTGATCTGCTTATTGGCTTTGGATTTTCAGTGTTGTGAATTGATTATTTTTACTATTTCTTCATTCCATTTGGGGAAGAGAGAGATCATTGTGGTTGCTTCTGCTACTTTAAGAGCAAAAGCACATTCTTCTAGTCCACAATAAAACTCTTCAGTTGCTGTAATTCTTTCCTGTGTTGTTAGAGACCTGTGTTCCTTGAATAACTGAACATTACATGTGGACTAAGGTGTTTCACTTGCCTTTTTTTTTTTAATGTCAATTTATTGTAAAGATCAATCCCTCTTGAGAAAAACCCACTGATCTTACATTCTTAACTAGATTAACCAGTTTGCACACATTTTGGCTTGTCACAAAGTTTGTATTTCACCTGTCCCATGCAAACAAAAGTACCTTTCATCAGTTTTTTTTTACAGTAATATTGCTGTCATGGATTAAGCATTTGGCAGTTTTGTTTTTTTTTTCTCTTGTATGTGCATACCAGAAAAAGGAGTGGGAGAAAAAAAAGAAAATAAAAGAAAAAAGCTGGGCTTACATGTTTTCTCATTATCTCTGGATGCAGCAGACTCTGGATTTGTTTGTTTGCTGAAACTCTTAAATCCTGAGGTGATTGCATTTAGCACATCATAGTTGGTCAAATATTGGTATCATAGTCATTCAGCTGACACAAAGCACTTGCAAGCACAATCTTTCATCAAGTTTGAGCTGGCAAAATTTGATTTATTGGTTGATCATTTGTGTGAACATGAATTTCAGCATAGAATAATTGAGAGCTCAAGAAGTCTCTCATCAGGACTTTTAGTCAAAATAATTTTGCTGGAAGAGTTATAGAGAGCGTCAATTAGTTTCCTTTAGAATAACTTGGTGCTTTAGAACTGCAGAGTCTGATTTTTACTTAGCAAAACAGAAACAAATAAACATCAAAACAGATGTTTGAGTACTCAAAATATTTCCAGCATCTTTTGCAAAAGTGAAATGATTATGGAAGTGTCTATTTCGAAAGTGCTTCTCTCTAAACCTTGTGTCCCTATAAATTATTCACACATTCTATAAATAATTTTTGAGAGACCTTTTAACTAAATAACTGAAAACTTATCCTAATAAATTCATTATTTGATGGAACTTTTTTTGTGGCCATGTTTCTCAGTTCCCCATTGACCCTTAAAATGAAAATATTTTCTCAGTTGTGGAAAGTTTAGTGTTTGCACTGCAGAACAAGGTGCCCTGTGAGCCTGTTGTGTGGCTGGGTGCACAAGTATGTGTGCAAGGAAATTTATTTCCTTTTCTTGTAGGAAACTATTGTCATAAATTAGACTTGCAAGTAACAAAGATGAAGCTATTCAGCTGCCACTACAGTGCTGGCCACCAAAATGTTATTCCTAAAGCAATAAACTAGTCTCATTCTGTAGTTGTGCATACCTTTTTTCTCAGTTAAGTGTCAACTTCAGATGGAATAAGAAGAGTTTTCCGTGTCAATCACCATGGCTTCTGTTATGGGTAGAACAAAAATTTCCAAACAACACAAAATCAAACCAAAACTCCAAACAATGCCTATTCCTGCT